CCCCACCCTTTGGTTTATCCCCTGTTGTCACTGTTTTTGATTTTGTTACCTTGTGTCTTGTATATATGTTTATCTGATTTGGGGAAGGAAAGGAGAATAACAAGGGAGACAAAGGACAAAGGGTCAACCAATGCAACAGCAATACAAAAGACTATGTTGGAAATGAACTTTACAGCTTGGGGGGAGGGGAGTCAGGGGAGAGGGAAAGTGAGAGAAAATGAGGGAGGGGGTAACAATGTCCAACAAGAAATGTACTTATTACCTCAATTATGTAACTGTAACCCCACTGTTCATCACCCTTAAATGAAATTAAAAATGAAAGGTGGGGTGATAGCTCATTAACCACCATGACACGAATGCAGTCAACTGGCCCCAGGGTGGAGGACAAAGACCATCTGGGGACAGAAGTAACAGCCCCAGACTAGCCATGTTAAAATAGATCTTCCAAGCAGCAAGAGCTGGTTCTAGGAGGCAAGGCTGGTCAGAGAAGAGGGGGAAGGAGAAATGTATCATCCCCTGCCCTCAACATTCCAGGCTCTCAACATGCTGCCTGTTCACAATTCCTGGCCCTTTTATGTGACTCAAGCCCTATGTCCCTCCCCAACTCCCAGTCAGCCTCCATTGTGTTAGCCTCTAAGGGCACCATGTGTCCCTTGCCTGTCTAGGCCTTTGTGGGTGCTGTTCCATCCACCCATGTACCCTATGATATTGATTTTCAAGTTCATGGTCACTCCCTAGATGTTTCTTCTATTCCAGTGGAAGATTCGAGGCTAGTAACCTTCTCTTTCTGTTTCTGTATCTTCTCCATATAATCTTTAGTGTCACACTTGTGTCACCAGAACACATCCTTGCTTGTTTGATTTGTACAACTTCTTAGATCAGGGGCCTCAAATCCATTTTCGGTGAAGATCCAGACAGTGGGTGTGTATCAGACTCTAGAGGCTCAGCACTGCTACTGCAGCATAGGTGATACATGATTTATGAGCCTGGCCTCATCTGTGGATGGTGGACTCACCCACAGTGACTGGCCACCCCCCCACAACCATAGCAGCTTGAGGGCCACTGTTCTGAGCTGTCCCCCATTGTAGCTACCTGGAGGAACATTCTGCATTGGAGGTATTGAGTGGCCTTTCCCCACCAGATGCCAGTATTGGGACCTGATCTCCCATGTGACAAACAGCCATAAAATATCTCTGGACAATGTCCTATGAAGAACAGAAGTCCTTCGCACTGAGAACTGTTTGTGTAGGGAGATGTGTGGTGGGGATGGGTAATGGTAGAATTTGTGTAGGGAGTAACTATCTTGTAAAGAAGAGAAAAAGCAATTAAGCCTATTGTGTTTGAAGGCCCAGCTGGCTGTGTATCCATCTACTCTTAGATCTGCACATGTTTTTAAAAAGAGATCACACTCAGCACGCTCTTCTGAACATGCCATTACTTCTATGTCATTACATGTTTTCCTACAACATTATCTGTAGTGGCTACAGAATGTTGCAGCATTCGATTGTATCGTGATTTATTTAACCACTGCTTTCATGAATTATTTATTGATTGCTTTGGTGCCAGCACTCTGGAAGAAAGAAATTAATCCAGCCAGGCTTCTCTCTTGGAACAACAGACTATCTAGAAGTAAAGGGACGAACCAGCCAGCACCCATATGTGGGTAATGTGAGAATTTGTAACAGCTGATCTTAACTTGGAGTTGGATGGGGGATGTGGAAAGCCTGGGATCTCAAGATTGATGGAACATCTGGGTCTTCTGGAAAGCTTATGATAGATAACACAGACTGCTGAGTGGCAACCTGGACTTTCTGGCTTGTTAGGTGTGGAGAAAGCTCCGAGGTGTCTCGCTTGCACCAGGCTTCCTGGTGATGTTGCTGCTCACTCTGGTTTAAGTAAGGTACTTCTACTTTTTCCCCATGATGAACAACTGGTATCTTCCTGGATAATGAATATTTTGCCCATAAATCATCCTTGATTCTAATGGAGAAGTGTAATGCTAGGAAGAGGGGCTTGGGAACTAGATCACACACGCACACACCCTCTCTGAGATTCACTTTCCTCAGCTGTATAAAAACAAGGCTGCTTGTGAAAATTATGAGTTGACTCTTCTAATTAGCTCTTAGAATAGCCTGAAAGAACAAAAGTGTGTTTGCTATTCGTATTAATGGTATTGTTAAGATAATAAGTTCCATGCATCAAAGATCTGCTTTCAAGAATAGGCAGAGCTGGGCACCAGTAACTCGTGCCTGTAATTCTAGCTACTCAGAAGTCTGAGATCTGAGGATCATGGTTCAAAGCCAGCCCACTCAGAAAAGTCCATGAGACTCTTACGTCCAATGAACTACCAAAGAACCAGATGTGGAATTATGGATCAAGTGGTAGAGTGCAAACCTTGAGCAAAACAGCTCAGGGACAGTACTCAGACCCTGAGTTCATGCCTCAGGACCACTACCACTCTCAAAAATAGGCAGAAACCCTCCCCCACAGTATAACCCCTGCTTTCACTGTATTTGATGTCGGTATAATTTGTGGAGGGGAAGGGGAAAAACAAATCGTTTAAATAGGGATACAGGTGGACCCATTGCAACAATGAGATGTACAAGTCGTTATGTCGAAGAACTTTACAACTTTGGCGCAGGGGGTGGGGGGCAAGAGGAGGTTTGGGTGGGGGGCAGGGGGAGGATGGGAAGGGATGGGAAGGGGAAACAAAGGAGGAGGCTACAATGCTTGATAAGAAATGTACTCATTATCTTGCCCATGTAATTGTAACCCCTTTGTACAGTATTTTCACAATAAGAAAAATAAATTATAGTGAAAGAAAAAAATAGGCAGAAAGAAGAAAATAGAAATGAATTTAAAAAGACAACAGAAATATAGAATTTTCAAAGTGTATCACCCAAACTAGGCAGAAATAAGAAACAGAAATAGAAAACAAATTGCAGAAATACAGAACTTTCAAAGTATACCATCAAGCTTGCTACCAGACAGAGCTTTACAATTTAACTTTAGTCTAGGGCAGTGTTTCTCAAACTGGGATCCGTTGAACCCATAGCAGCAGTCACGTGAAAACATACTGGAAAAGTCTGGGGGCAGATGTGTCTTGAGTGGCCTGGAGGGAAAGTTCTTATTCCAGAGGGCTCTGGGCGAGTCAGCACATGGATCAAGTGTAAATGCCCAGTCCGGGCCTGGCACAAGCAAGGACTTTTTGAAGCAGTACAGAAAAGGAAGCCTCCCAGGAAATCCTTGATTTCCACCATCTTGTCAAGATACAACTTGTTTCAACCTTCCCTCCTCATTATCCTGGCCCCGGGGTCGTTTTATCACACGGTCACACTTCCTGTATTGGTTGAGACCCCTGGGAGCAGCTACAGCTGCAAGAACGTACCTCCAATAGAACAAGAGAACTCCTGGGTTCACTGGCATCTTCAGCTTTGCTATCTTCACTCCACGAGCGTGGAAGCGGGAGACTCTAGGACATGCTGCTGGAGCAAGCCCCTCTTTGGCTTAATGGTTGTTTTTAGGCTACTTTGGTTATGGGAACAAAATACCACAGATTGGGGAGGGGGGGACACGCAACAGGAAGTGTCCTCCACCTCTTCCCTCCTCAGATCTAGAAGTTCAAGAGCGAAGTGCTGGCAAGGTGGATGGCTCCTGAGGTGTCTCTCTGTCACAGGCGTGTCCCTAACATTTCCTTGTGTGTCACTTCCTCATGTGATAAAGCCAGGCTCCATTGCCCTCCACTCTACCAGCCTCATTTTACTAGAGTCATATCTGTAAGGGATCTGTTCCCCAACATAGTGACCCTAAAACATGGGGGATTTAGTAGACTTTAATGAGAATGTAGGAGGAGGGCATAAATCAGACCCTAGGAAGCCAATTTATAGAAAAGGAAGAGAGAGCCACAGACAATGAGAGAGATGGGGGGGGAGGGGAGAGAGAGCTGGAAATCGAGGGAGAGCTAGTAAAGTCGGCTAACCAGGACTAATGGCCATGAAGTCCCTAAGGACCATGACCATGTCTACTACCCTGACCAGATGGAGATTGTGACTAATTGATGTGTTGACAAAAAATGTAACCCAGTGCCTAAGGGACCATCTAGGATGACTGTGCCTGCTGCCCTGGTCCCCAGGTTATGTTCTCTAAGGATGGATTTGGGCTCTGCAGCCTGTGAAGAAGTAGAACAGGAGCTGATGGTTCCACCTCAGGACTCGTCATCTGGGCCATATTTGCTCCTCACACCTGTTGGGCTCTGTGATCTTTCTGAGTCTGTCTTCCTGCTGGTGTGGGAGCAGACCTGCTCCTGAGCTGCTTTGAAGACTGAGTGGGATCATCTTGCTAAAGAGATTAGCATGATACCCACATATTGCAAACACTAGATGAAAAGCTATTATGAAAAATTACTAGCTGTGCATGGTAGCTCAAACCTGTAATGCAAGCTGTTTAGAGGGCAGAAGTAGGAGGATCATGATTTCAAGGCCAGCCTAGGCCAAGTAGTAAGACTGTATCTCAAAAAACAGAAGACCAGCTAAAGGTCTGAAGATGCAGCTCAGATCACAGAATTACTGTTCTGTCTCCTAATTTAACTTGACTTCCAACTGAATCCTATGAAATTTCATTCGTTCCCCCAATTCAGACTTCATGATAAAGGATATTTAGTTATACACATAATACATATTTAATGCTTCCCTCCCTCTAAAAGCCCAAATACAATAATGTAAAGGAAACAGGAAAAACCTTTACTCTCTCAGTAATTCCCTGGGTACCACTTCCAATCTGCTCAGCCCTTCACTGGCTCATTGACTTGATTAAAGTCCAGTTTCCTGAGTCTCTGCCCACTATAAAGTAGAGACAGTTAACCTCAACTTCATGCAATCAGGAAGACTTCAATCGGTTGGTATAACAGAGTCACGGAGGAAGGAAGCCCAGCTTGGGTCCACGGGGCCCAAGGTGGTAACTTCTGGCAGGTCTCACAACCACCATCATGTTCTTTCTTGCAGGATGCAAAGGAAAGCCTGGGCTGGATGGGAGGAGGGGCCAGGATGGTGTTCCTGGGCCTCCCGGACCTCCTGGACACAAAGGTGACACCGGAGAGACTGGCTGTGCTGGAAAACCAGGTGACACATTTCTTTTTGTCTTCCTTTCCCTGATACCAATGACTGGGGAGCTAGACACCAAGCCTAGCAAGCAGCTCTGCAGTGGGTGTTATGAAATACGTTTGTCACAGATGCCCGCTCAGCAGATATTAGGGAGACCAAAGCGTCGAGGAGCTGCATCTCCCACATTCTAATGGATGCCAAACCATCATCAGAGCCCATCTAGTTGCTGGATCGTATATAAAATACAGGGCTTTGAAGAGAAAGCATTTGGGAGCAGGTGAGGTGTGAGGGGAAAGAGATGGCGTCAGGATAGAGCTTTGAAATGTAACTTAGGCCTGGTGGACCCAACCACTTGAAGACACATCTTGGGAGAGGACATGTCAAGGTGATAATGTCCATGAGTAGAAACGAGAGAGGAGGGCTGGCTGCGGCAGAAGAACTTGCTTCTGAAAGACCAAGCTCAGCTTCAGCGAATTAGCTCCTGTAGACATGCAGATCTAGTGTTCCTTACATCAATTTTTGATTTGCAAATCTGAAATGTCCAGTTATAAAATCATTACAGGTCAAATGAGCAGGTCTCCTTCACATGGTCATCTTTGTAATCTCTTTGTCACTTGGTCATCTCTGATTGGCAGTGTGGGTAGGAGAGCCTGTTTGTCTTGAAGGAACAACAAGCAATTAACAAAACCAAAACACCTTTCATCTCTCAAAGTCCAACATCAGCTTTTGTTCCTGGCAATTGGAAATAGCTGTTGGCTTCCTCAGTAGATCAGCGTCTTGGCAGTGTCAAAGGAGTCAGAACTTGCTCACATTTTAGAGATTATCCGTTTCCATCTACCACCAAGAATGGTAGGGCAAGGCCTTCCCTTCCCCTCTCTCCCTCACTAAAGAAGAGATTCAAAGTCAGCCATGTGCATCCTACCCCTTTGCCCGTCTCAGTGGACCCCTCAGTGTGCTGGACCCAGGAGGGCCATCTGGCAAGTGGAAAAGACCAACTTCAGCCTGTTCCCAGCCCCATCTGAGAAGGTGGAGGTCCCAGGTCTGGGAGGGGTGGCTCATGCACTGCTTTAGATCTTACCATGTCCTAACCTCTACAGTTTATCTTTCCATTATGGGTATGGTCATTACTCTTCCTCCAATGAAAGTGTTCTGGGAGGACAGGGATTTCTTCCTGTGTTCTCTTTTCAGGAAGCCCCAGCATCACCTAGGAACTGCTTGAAACAAATTTGGTCCTTCCTCAGTATCTACAGGGTATTGGCTCCAGGAACCCTTATCCCAGGATCCTCAAGTCCTTTATATTAATCATATCATTTTACACCACATGCATATGTATACACACACACACACACACACACACACACACACACACACAGACACACACACACACAAAACCTTCCCACATATTTTAAATCATATCTAGAGTATGTAACCATCTGTTGCAATGTAAGTGCTATGTAGTGTACTGTATCATTTAGGGAATAATAACAAGAACATAGTCTATAATGCTCAGTGAAGATGTATTTTTTGTTTGTTTTAGCTTTTGATACTTTCAAACAGAGCTTGGTTGAACTCAGAGATTCTGAATGTGTGTGCAGTGGCGCTCCGTGCTGGCTGGATGAGTCTTCTTTGTGCGTACTGCACTTGTGGAAGGGACCATGCCTGCCCTGACGGCTGTGCCCTGTTCCCCTCTGTTCCCTGTGTGCTTAGCACAGTGCCACAGGACTGGTACTTGTGAAACAGAAATCCTGAAGGTGTGTTTTCATTCTTTATTTCTCTAGGCCCTCCTGGTCTGACTGGTGATCCTGGGCCCAAAGGGACTGGCCTTGGCTACCTCAGTGGCTTCCTCCTGGTTCTCCACAGTCAGACGGACCAGGAACCTGCCTGCCCTGTGGGTATGCCCCGGCTCTGGACTGGATATAGTCTGTTATACATGGAAGGACAGGAGAAAGCCCACAATCAAGACCTCGGTATGGATATTCCACGTGATTACTCATATTGTTGACCCTAGTATAGATACTCCTCGTGATCACTCATGCTGGTGACTATGTGTAGATAGTCACATGATGGTCCATGATAGTCACCTGTATATAGATAGTATATAGTAATACCCATGACCACTGTACTGTTGACTTCTGGGTAGATATTCTACCTGATCATCCATGCTGTTGACCTTGGACAGTCACATGATCACCCATGCTGCTGCCCTTAGTGGAGATAATCCATGGGATCACCTACAGCTGACCTTGGTGTGAATGTTCCCTCGATCATCCATACTCTTCACCTTGGTATGGATTTTCCAAGGTGATCAACCATGCCGTTTCTTAGAAAGTAAAACCTTGGTTTTAAGCTTACAGATTCATCAACCTAATCACTAATCCTTTATGAGATTCTTACTGCATTTTTTATACTTTCTTTCTTCATTTTTTTCCTTCTCTTCATTAATTTTTTCTTTAATTTTTCCATTGTCATTATAGGGAGATGTAGAGAGCAGTTACAGTTACCTAAGTCACATAAGAGTACATTTCTTTTTGGACAATGCCACCTGTTCCTTCATTACTTTTTCCCTTATTATTTTTTTTTAAACTGCCATGTGAACTCCCAACTATTTCTATTAAAACTGTGATCCTACATGATGTCACAGAAATTCATTCTGGCTCTAGTTTCTTTTTGGTTATTTATTGCTCTTTTTTTTTTTTTTTTTTAAAGATATTTTCATCTGGGCGCTGGTGGCTCATGCCTGTAATCCTAGCTACTCAGGAGGCTGAGATCTGAGGATCAAGGTTCAAAGCCAGCCCAGGCAGGAAACTCTGTGAGACTCTTACTCCAATAAACCACTAGAAAACCAGAAGTGGTGCTGTGGCTTGAGCGGTAGAGCGCTTGCCTTGAGCTGAAGAGCGCCCAAGCCCAGAGTTCAAGCCCCATGACTGACCAAACAAAATTTTAAAAAGATACTTTTATTGAAAGTTAATGTAACTCTTATGAACTAAAGTTCTCATTCTCATATGTAGATTATTTAGTTGGGCCCTCGTGGCTCCTGCATTGATATACACCTTGATTTAAGCACCTGCTGTGTGTACATTATGGCACTTGGCACATCAGAGCCCAGTCCTGCTCCAATCTGTTTTCAAATAGCAAGACTTAGAGGGTCATCCTCCACACTGCTTGACAATTTCTGGAACCTGATTAAAGAGCTGCAGGAAGCAATGCCAAGACAATAGTCTGCATACCCGAGTCCTGACAATTACTGTCTTTCCTGGACTGAAGGGTCAAGGTGGTGGGTGGCGAAGGATGCACCAGCAGAGATGGTTGGTGGTGAGATGACTTCTGTCGCTGGCTTCATGTCATGTGCTCACAGGGTGCAGGTCTAGAGTTGTCTTTCCTACCCATCTTCCCATCTCTATTAGGTACATCCATGTTCTGATCGCCCACCACTGACTTAAGTTTCTTGGAGCACAGGCAAAAAGAAGAGGGAATTGTGCTATATCTTGAATGTGTTTGTAGCTCTCCTCTTCCTTCTGTTCTCAAGTTCTTTCCTGTCTGGCCTCTGCATTCTCAGTCTTGCCCTTTCTGCCCTGTGCTAGTAAGATGGCACATTTTAACACTCTGAAGAACTTCACGAGATTGACAAAATGTGCTCTGACTTATCTCTGGACACCACTAAAGCAAGCAGACACACGGACATGCTCATCTTCATTCCATTATTCCCCTCAGCGAGCTGTGACTTCCCAGAATGCCATGCTCTGTGCATCAGGCTCTCTCCACTGCCACATGAGACCTTGGGGTTTCTCCTCCTCTGAAAAGTACCACCACCTCCAGCCTGGGTGTGTGGGAGGGGTGTGGGGAGGGGGGCACGGTCCTCTTCACATTTCCACTCACAGCTTAAAGATCCAGCCACTCCATACTTCTCATTCACAGCATTTGTCAGCCTGGAATTTCATCAGCGGTTTGCTCATCCATGTCCCTGTAGGTCAATGAGATTCAAGAAGATGAATGTGTCATTGCTTACCTCTAGCGTCTTGGCCTGCTGGCGGTCCTCTTAGGGAGGGATGAGTGGTTAAGGAGTGGCTTACAAGGCTAAAGGGATTTTCCCACCGTGAAGTGGGCTTTGGCCTGCCTACCCTGGGTCATGGGTCAGAACAGGTGGTCTGTGAATGCTTGGGTGGGGAAGGGTCACTGGCACACCAAATGTCTCTTCTTTCCTCCAAGGTCTGGCAGGGTCATGCCTTCCCATGTTTAGCACGCTGCCCTTTGCCTACTGTAACATCCACCAAGTGTGCCACTATGCGAGGCGAAATGACAGGTCATACTGGCTGGCCAGCGCCGCGCCCCTCCCCATGATGCCAGTCTCCGAGGAAGAGATTCGCCCTTACATCAGCCGCTGTGCGGTGTGCGAGGCCCCGGCCCAGGCCGTCGCAGTGCACAGCCAGGATCAGTCCATCCCGCCGTGCCCTCGGGCCTGGAGGAGCCTCTGGATTGGGTACTCATTTCTGATGGTGAGCTCGCTGCCCTGGAACCCTGTCACCTTCCTTTTCTTCCCCTGTCTGGATCGGATAGGAATTCTGTGCGTACTTTAGGCCCACCCCCAGGGAAATCAAGATTGTGAAGGCAGTTGCAAGCCTAATTTTCTTCTTCTTGTCTGATAGCACACGGGTGCTGGGGACCAAGGAGGCGGCCAGGCCCTCACGTCACCTGGCAGCTGCCTGGAGGATTTCAGAGCCGCGCCATTCCTTGAATGCCAAGGCCGCCAAGGGACTTGCCACTTCTTTGCAAATGAGTATAGTTTCTGGCTGACAACAGTGAACCCAGAGACACAGTTTTCTTTGGCCCCATCACCAGACACCTTAAAAGAAGGCCAGGCCCAGCGCCAGAAAATCAGCAGGTGCCAAGTGTGTGTGAAGTATAGCTAGAGAAGGCAAAATTCACGTGCATCTACCAAGAGAAACTCCCAGGGAGTGAAGACTTCTAGGCTCTGCTACGAGATTCCATGGTGCTCTTTCCAAACCCTGATCTCTATAGGGTTCTTCTCAGAGCCCTCCAGCTCCCCGCTCTGTGCCTGACAGACTCAACAAATGCTGTACAGGACGCACGTGGAATTTGTTTGACCTCAGCAATCTAGATGAACCCCACATATTATTAAATGGAAAAATAGGCTTTCTAGGGTAATACGCTAATGCTCAGGAAGACAAGGAGATGATAATGACTGGATTATAAATGACATTGGTTAATTGCATCTCACACGATTGAAGTCAATTACTCTGTAATACCGTGGGCCTTCTGGAGAGATTTTACAGGAAAAATTACATGGGGCAACAAATGAAAACGAGGTACTAGAGCTTTTCAACATTCCAAAGTCATTTCCTCATTAATCTGGTTCTTTTTTCCCCATGCACTTTAAATAATTATAAACATGACCCAAAGATATTAAAAGAGAAGGAGACTATAGAAGCAGCCCATACAGCCAGTGGTAAGAATTCATTTCAAAGCGAAATGAATCATTACGCCAGGAGAGGCCGCAAGCCACCTTCTTCCAGAGCTCTGACATTAGCATAAACACTTCACACATGAATATAAAACATTAGGTTCTCTTGTGCATTTTTTTTTCAGAGACTAGAAATGCCTACTTTGGCAATCCTTTTGAAAAGTAGCAATTATGGAAAAAAGATATTCAATAAGGGATCAGGGAGTCTAAAAGCTATTAATGAATATTAAAGTGGTGATTCACAAAAATTGACTCCCTATTGCAGGGAACTTCCAAACAGACTGGCTTTCCCCCCAGTCGGGGTCCAGCAAGTCCTCAGTGCTAATGGGACTGGAGCCGCATGGGGCTTCTGCAGGGTAAGAGCATGTCACTTCCCTCCCCAGGAAAACCTGTGGGGCTCACAATGGACACTTTGCCTCAGCATGCATAATGGCTGCTCCCAGGAGACATGGCAGGGCTTTCATTAGGCCCTTGGGAGAAAATGGAGGCCGACTTAATTAAACTTAGGTTAGAAGATTCATTTAAGTCGGGGTCAGCCCATCAGAAAGGCATGGTGGGGACTATCAAAGAAACAAAGATGATACACAATTTGCATTTGATGTTCCTGGGATTCGTCTTTATAGCAACACCCTATCTGGCCAATTTTAAAAACATTTATTTACTTCATATTAGTATAGCATTGACTCAGTGGTTTGACATTTGGCATTTATAGTTTCTATATAAGTTTGGAAGCGATGGCAATTTAAAATGAGGATGTTTTGTGAATAGTAAAAGACCTGTTTTCTGTTTTTCCAGGAATTCAGTGTTCTAATCCTACAAATCAAAATTTTCCTAGAACAGATTTTATTTTATTTGTTTTTGGTGGGAGGAACTTATCTTCCTTAGTTAAACACAGTATCATTTTAGAAAAAAAAAGTTAAGAAAGTTCTCTGGAGAATAGCAGCATTTTAGTAGCTGGCTTTAGTGCACTGAAAAACAATTCAGAGAAAAAAAACATTAAAATTTTGTTTACAAGACATGTTTTCCTTGCCATACTTTGATTACTAGTGAGCTCTTCCATGCAGAATCCTTTTCCAATGATTTGTGCCATACGCTAACCATAGGGTGAAAATTTTAAGAGAAGTTTCTGGTAAAAAAAAAAAAAAAAAAGGAAGCATGTCTATTTTAACATGAAATGTTTTCTTAATGTAGCAGAATATCTCCTAGTTCACTTGACCCATTTGACTTTCTTTAAGACCATGCTATATATGTTAAATACCTTGGAGTACCCAAAATTCAAGCCAGTTTCCACCTTCTACCTTATTTGACGTTACCCTTCTCTCTCCAGATCTATCACAAGTTTTTGAAAGTTGATCGTGAACTTAGACTGAGAATGTTTTCAGGGAAGAAAAGAGAGGCAATGAATGGGAATATCAGAAATATGTCTTGCTTGCCAAATTACCTTTGGTGTTAGAATATTATCTTAACAAATAGGATGCTGGTGGCTCACATCTGTAATCCTAGCTACTCGGGATGCTGAGATCTGGGGTGTCAAGATTTAAAGTCAGCCAAGGCAGAACTGTCCACCAGATTCCCTCTCTAAAATAACACACAAAAAGCTGGGCTAGTAGTTGGTCTAGGTAGTACAGTGCTGGCCATGGAAGCAGATCCAGCAAGCTCAAGGCCTTGAGTTCAACCCCAGTAAAGGCAAATTCCTGCTGCTGCTGCTGCTGCTGCTACTATCTTAACAAGCTTTATAATGAAGTTAAAGAACAGGCTAAAGGACAGTTCACTCCAGCCCCCTCCCACAGTGCCTACGCCGTGACTTGTTGGAATGCTCCAAAAATCACCTCCCCTGGACAGCTGTCAGTCTCGTCCCCAGAGAACCGGGCATCTTCCTTCATCAGCCTCAGTGAGTGAAGCCCACCCAGACAGGCAGGCATTCATGCCGCGTGTGGCCAGCCCCTTCCAACTCCCCAGACTGAAGCCCAAGCCCACACTTCTCATGGTATGGACCTCCTCCAGCCTCCTCCACCTCCCTCAGCTTTTCCACCTATCCTCTGACAGCCTCTCTGACAGACATCTCCTGATTTGCCCTATCCGAACTGGCTTTTGTTATCTTTTGGCTTAAAAACCCATCTCGGACTGCCCTGCTGGTAAAATCCAAATGACTTCGCCCGGTGAAAGGTCCAGCATGAACTGTCTATGAGAATATCTGTCACAAACTGTCAGCCATTCTGCAAACATTCACGGCACCTCCAGGCCTCCATCTTGAGGAGCCTTGACTTGGTAACCGACTCCTACCTACTTTTATACATTGATGAATGCTGAGTGCCACCTGCCTCCCCCACCAGTCTAATATCAAAGCCCCAGGGACCATGCCATATTGGTGCCTTGTCTCCCACGTGAACCCCAAGGGGAGGGGCAGGCTACACTAGCCTCTGTATGCCTGCTATTAACACAGGCCCGCACATTTTAACACTTAGTGCTTTTATTCAGTGGCGATTCCATAAGCCTCATTAGGCACTCAGTGCTCATGGGTAAAATGGTGACAAGTGTAATTCATTTCTGGATGCAGAATGCTAGAATAGTCAACCTATAATCAAGTTATCGATGAGCTATTGGAACATTGAAGCCCACAATCTCCTATAACACGTAGTGAGAGGAAACTGATTCGTGACTCTGGATCTTTGCTTCCCTGCTCCAAAAATCCTCTTACTTTTCTGTAAAGGAACATTTCAGAAATGATGAGATGTGAGATTTGGCTGAGAAGACGTGCCTTACTGAAAGGAGACGTGTTAACTCATACTGTAATCTGTGTTCCCTTGTGAGTTAAGAGCTGATTCATTCAAAAGTGCCTCTGTAAAATTTGTATGTATGTTGCTGGTGCTTTGTAAGAGTCAGTGGAATGGTGTATGAAAAGCAGACTTTATCATAGATTTTTATTTTATTTTGAGCTCTATACAGACTATAAGGAAAATTGGGTTGGCGTTTCTATTGCTTCACTGGAATCATTTTGGTAATTGTTACTTTTCCTCAGTATTGCTGCAAACATAAAAGAAAGATGAGGACTTCCGAGTTGCTTGAACTCAGATTTGAATCCAGCTTTGTTTCTTTCCAGCTGTGTGCTGCTGGAAACTTCCACCAATACCCTGAACCTCATTTCTCTCATTCAGAAGGTGGAATATAACACCTACTCGTGTTGAAAATTAAAGTTAGATTCTCTTTCTAGCATATAGCGGTCATCCTGCATTGATTGTGGTCATATCTTCCATTTGAAATAAACTACTGACTATAAAAATAATTCTTGGGATTATTTTTTTTGCATAGTAGAATAAAAGGATTCCCAATGGGCATATAAATTACTAGTTAGTATTCTTTATACCTGGCCAATTCTTAATGTCATTGAGAATGCTGTTTTATTTCAATTCTCGAAGTTATTGTACCACAAAAAAAAAAAAAAAGCACGATTTCCTGCAGGGCCAATATGAGGAAGTTCTGCAGAGAACAAACAATTGACATTAAAAATCAGCACTCTGCAATTGTCACTGTTATTATCTGTTGGAAACTCTGCATAATGCATTTTAAACCCCTAAGGATGCCTGACACGTTCATGTGAAATGCTTGAATTTTATGGTGCTTAAATATTTAGTGATTCATGGGGAAAATGTGAAATGCGTCCAATAAATTGCACCTCTTTTTCTAACCTATGGTTGTAAAGTTAGGGCTTTTGAACATGTACCTTTTATAAGAGGACTGGTCTTTCATTGACATTTAAATCTTTCCTGTATCACCACTTATAATATGGTTCATTGTCTATAAAGTTGTGATGAGTTCAAAACCAACTGCGTTTTATTTGGTGAATTTATTTCTTTTCTTTCAAGTCAGCTGGATTTGCTGCTTGTTTTTATTTTTATTTTTAAAATGTGTGGCCCATCCTTGGGAGAACATAAGGAATATCACATGGTAGAAGTGTGAACTTCAGAACAGAACAGTGTAGGCTGGAAAGGGTGGATTCAGAGGCTCTGCAAAGCAACTATTGGGGTGAGAAGAAAACTAAAACCAGGCCTCAGGACAGAAGGCTGCATCCACCATGGCTGGGCTTCTTGGAAAGAGCGCGTGGGGCTCTCACACCCTGGCTGCAGTTATTTGTTGAGCAGGAATGACATGACCCACGGCACAGGGTTATTTGGAGGATTTAAGGTGTGCAAAGTCTATGAGATAGAAGCTGTGTGATATTGTTACTTACATCTCCTGTGCGTTAGCTTTTTGCCACTGTGACAAATACTCGAGAGAAACCATTTAACAGGAATTAAGATTTAGGTTTGGCCCATGGTTTCAGGCTAAGTCCATTGCTTTGGACTTGGGATGGATAAGAAGTAGGGCCAGAAAGCAGGAAAAGAGACTTAGGAAGGGAGAGAAAGAGGAGTGGGGGGAGGGGGGCGGGGGCAAGGGAGGAAGGAAGGAAGGAAGGAGAGATGCCCGGATGAGCTATAGCTCGCCAAGCGCTCATCTGTGTTTGCCTACCTCCTTCATCTAGGTCCCACCTCTGAGAGTCTCTCTAGGTGACCAACAGTGGACTACCAAATCTGAAACACTCCAACCTTTCTGGAGGGCCCTTCATAATTATCCACAACATCCTATGCTGCTGGGATTGGCTAGATAGAGCAAAGTTACCCAGTAACTCTCGCATGGATTTAAGCCTTTTTTAAATCAAAGCAAACTTCAATAGTATAGGCCTCAACCTCTTTTGACAGGGGAATAAGAAATAACTGACATTCTTTAAGAACCTACTATTGGGCTAGGAAGGTGGCTCAGTGGTAGAGTACTTGCCTTGCATGCCTCGTCCTGGGTTTGATTCCTCAGCACCACATAAGCAGAAAAAGCTGGAAGTGGTGCTGTGGCTCAAGTAACAGAGCACTAGTCTTGAGCTGAAGAGCTAAGGCACAGTGCCCAGGCCCAGAGTTCAGGCCCCACGACTGGCAAATGAAAAAAAAAAAAGAATGAACCATATTAACCCTACCATACTTGCTTCCTCTCCACCCCAGAGAGTTGCACTATTTAAGGAACTTAAATTACCATCTGAGCATTGCTGGCTTATGCCTATAATTCTAGCTACTCAGGAGGCTGAGATCTGAGCATTGATGTTTGAAGCCAGCCCAGGCAGGAAAGTCCATGAGACTCAGATTTCCAATTAAGCGTGCACACACACACACCAGCAGCAGCAACAACAAAAAACCCCAAACCCCACAGAAGTGGAACTTTGGCTCAAGTGCTAGATTTCAGCAAAAAAGCTCAGTGATAGTATCCAGGCCCTGAGTTTAAGCCTTATAACTCAGAGAGAGAGAGAGAGAGAGAGAGAGAGAAACAGACAGACAGACAGACAGGCAGGCAGGCAGACAGAGACAGAGACAGAGACACAGAGAGAGACTTCAATGTTTTGTTAAGCTGAGAATCTGAGCTAAGATAAATACTACGGGCTGAATAAACTATTAAAATTAAGAAATGACTGTAATGATGCATGAGAAGGGAAAGGAAGAAATGTAGATTTGTATATGACTAACTGGATGCATTTCTTTATGAATATTGACTCGTCACTAGGGATTAAGACTAGGAACTGGTCCCCATTTTAATATCCACTGTGGGAGGTGTGTCTCATATCCCTCATTCTTTTAACCTACTCCCCAGTAGACAGACTATGTGTCAAATATGTAGCCTGACTCTACTTCTACTAAAGCTAGGAATTTAGCTTAATATGAGCTTTGCCAGAAGGCATTTAAACAGGGAGAGGAGGTCATTACAGTGGAATCACAGGTAATACATTCAAAGGTCATTTAACAGGAAGCAATTTTAAATACACTTTCCTCTTGAGAACCAAGAAGCAAGAACTGATTCTGAATTAAGAGGTCATCTGACTGACCACATCAAACCATGGGAACTACATACACAAAGGGGTATCAGGAAACTACTGCTACACAAAGGCACCAAATTAAAAAATCAGCTCTAAATGCTTAGTTCCTATTAGAGATCATTAGTGTAATGCACTTGCTTTTGTTCATCTTTCTCAACCCAATTCTAGTTTGTTCACATGAATTTGGAGATTCCTTATTGTACAAAAAAAGATGCTGAATAAAGTGGTTATAGACAAGCCCATTAACTAATTAGAATAAAATTTCCAGAACATCTTTATTGCTGTGAAAAAATAATTGGTTTATAATCAAAATGACCTCTCCCACATTTCTAAATGTTCTAGGATATTCCACTCCATAAATAGTGTTCATGTTATAGTTACAGCATCCAAAATGTAATTCCAGTGTTTTCATATGTGACAGGTCAAATGAAGGAGGTACTGCTATATTAAAACAGGAAAATACTTCCATATATACATATGACTTGACTTTTAATACAATAGAAAACACTTGGTTGAGAAATTAACATTTAATGAGTTCCTACCACAAGCCTTTGGACGGGGAATATGGAAAATGTGGAGACTATGGGAGATATACAAGTCAGGGTGATTTATAACCCACACCCCCACATAGAAGGCACACCTTGGTATAGGTATGTACAAATAACCATAACAATAACAAGGGCAAAATATGAGTGCTACAGGACAGTTTCCATGTTATCAAAGATGGCATGTAAGAATAGGAAAATAGAAGTCAAATTTATAGTTTGAGAGGCAGGAATGATTTAGCTTGAACATTTTAAATATGTCTAAAGCTACTGGACTCAGGTACAATTCTCATTATCTACTAGCTCTAGTTTTACATCAATTATAAATAAAATCAAGCATCTCAGGTGTCATTGTGCAAGTAGCTAGATATAATTCTCCCAGATCTCAAGGTTTCATAGCTCATTTATATGCAAGGGTCAAGGCCACTTCCAGACAAATTCAGACCCTGAGCTGGACACAACACTGCACAACCAGTATGCTCCAAGTCTGTCAAATGTATACAAGAAGTCATTGTGATGGAATACATTCAAAATGTTAATCCTGCGTATTCTTCCAAGTGGTATGAATGCACATGATTTTATAATTGTTTATGTATTTATTTGTTTGTTTTGAAGTTTCTCAATGGCCACATATTAATTATTTTTAAGTCTGTTTTACTGTGTTTTCCCTTGATTTATTGTATGAATCAGTTTTCCTGACTACAAAGCAATATATACAATACACATATTTTTTAAAAGGCAGTATAAAATTGTGAAAAAGAGAAAGCAAAGTATTTTATCTCCAGAGATAATCTCTGTTCTATTTGCTAAACTTCCTTCCAGACTATGCATGTAGATGGCATTTCTATGACTTTCATAAACGGAAAACTATATATGGATGATAGATGAGTTAAAATAGAAGCATCTTTTGCTGCTTCTAGTTCTCTCTAAAAATAAGCAACTCCATGACTAAATACATTTTGGCTTTGTCCTTTTACACATGAAACACAAGCACCAGAGAATGCTTTAAATGACCTGACAATCGGTGTATTTTAGTATCGTAGGGCCCTAGGGTATGCTTTGGACATTTGTCCAGGACAACTTGTTTCAGGGCCAATTCAGAGGCACTTTTATGAGGAAAAACAATACTTTCTACAAAAAGGACTTCTAGGAACCAATCCTTTGAACGCTTTTGCCCGATTCTGTATGTGGCACTTGTTGTTGCTTTGCTGTTTAACCAAGTCCCATCTCCCTGGCCCACACATGCTGTCCTGGGGAGGGTGGGCAGCTATAAATCCAAATTGTTGGTACCCCTTGACATCTAGTGGTGGATGTAGGTGTTTTCTCCACAGCATACTGGGAAGAGAGCATATCTTTATCCTGATGGTCACCACAGCAACATGCCAAGAAGACCAGGGAATACCACTGCACTGCACCTCTGGCCAATGTAAGCCTCAAGCACTCCAGGCAGAAAAAATGGATGATCTCTTTGTGAAGGTGGAGTCTTCGACTGCAAAACAAGGTGCAGGAATCAGAGTCTGGAGGAAAGGATGGAGTGTGGAGAAGGCCCCAATGTTAAGGAAGAGACCGCTGGTTTGGGATGGAGAATAAGATCACTTCTAGAAAGCTGTGAGCTGCCTGCCACAAACCCGGTTTCCAGACAAGTCAATCTGACCGTGAATCTAGATGTAGGGCGGTGACAGGGTGAGAGTCCATGGCATACAGAAGCAATCAGGGATGATGATGGTATACTCTGCTTTTGTTTAAAATGAAGTTGGGGCTGGAAGGAGGCTCAAGCAAATGGAAGGAAAATGGACAACTGAACCACATCTTCCGAAGATGCTCTATCACTTCACTGGCCGTCAAATCTGTGAAGCCGTTGTCTCCTCATTTCTTCTTCGGGTGAGAGCCGAAAACCATAGGGCGGTGGGCTATTTCTGGTATTTCCTGCAGTGAGAAAGTGAAGAAAAAAATCAAACACTGCCGATCCATCACTGTGACATTTATAAGGACTTACACACCCTAAGATTCCAAAGACAAAAAAAAAAAAAAAAAACCGAAAACAAAACAACCACATTCATTTTGGTACCACCTTTATTTTAATGTGCAGAAGACACACCACAAACATATTTCAACATTAGCTGTCAATACTAATTTCAACATCAAGGAAGTATTTTTGTGGTGTGGTTCAGTCTATGAACTTAATCTGACCCATTCTAAGTTTCTTGGTAATTTCCCTACTTTTATTTTTCCTTCAATCAGCTCAACAATGTGCACCATTTAACTTTCCATAGTGTCCTGGTGATTTGTGTCTATATTTTATGGCCATCTTTATTAACTTCCCCACTGCCAACTCTGCTGGCTGACTTTGACTCAAGCCTTTGGGGTCTCCCTTTACCCAGCCACTCCT